TGTCTGTTCCAGGTAAAAGGCATAAGTCTTACCTAGCCATATTTTTGCAAGGGAAAAAAAAAAGTAAGAATCTGGAGTTTCCATATGAGCGGAAAGTCGGTGCATGGGCATGGAGAATGCAAATGTCTTCTTTCTTCCTCTTCAGATATCTAATGTGGATTCTGCTAGTAAAAGCAGGAAGGAAGTAAGCAGGGAAAAAGTAAACAGAAGGATGTAAAAGGAGTAGATAAACACTCCTGAGATGCTTGCGAGAGGGTAAGTGTAGAGCATGCAACATCTGTTGCTCTATAAGCACATCAGACTGATGTGGCTTATCCTGAAGACCAGATTAATGCAATAAACAAGGCAGTGCTGAGGCAGAAGTGAGGAGCAGCTGACCCAAGTGAAGCTGCATGAAATAAACTGTTCTGAGAAGGATTTAAGAGACGGCAATTGAAACTAGGAAAGGTCTCTGAGGCGTCTTGCTCCTGGCAGCGTGCAGGGAGAGAAGAAACAGTGGATGTTGTATTAGCACGACGCACCGCTATATGTAAACTGTGATTCAAAAGTATGTTGTATTCTGAAAGCAAGTTACTTTGCCAAAAAAAAAAAATGTTTATAGTGCTTTGTGCTCTAGTATGGCTGGTTTAGAAGAAAGAGTAACTTCAGCAGCTTTGTATAGTGGTTGAAACGATGCTACAATGTGAAGATTAATGTAATAAGATGGATTGTAATTCTAAACAATCAATGCTGTTAATTTCTCATTTTTAGAGTTGTTTTATGTGTATTTATTTACTACTTTGAGTGTCTTTTGGCCTCAGTGCTTGGGGCAGCCCTGTCTTTGTGTACAGACAAGAACACTGGCTGCTGACTTTGGTCTTTTCGTGTCCTTGCTGGAGAGATACTGAACCAGGGGCCCCAAGAAGCAGACATTAACTTGCACTGCAGCTTTTTAAGCTAAGAAATTGTAAATTCCTAATCAATCAAATGGAAGACAGACAGTTTTATTACAGCTTTATGCTTTTCCTTAGCCGTTATTGCAAATAGGGTATGCTGCCCCCCCAGTGAAGGTAAAGAGGGATCTTCCTTGAGAACATCTGCAGCTTCTTGAAGGTTGAGTTCTCCCCCTCCACTTGCCAACACTAACTTGCTCCTGCACGAGCCAAGGATGCCTGCTGAGACAAACGGATTTTCTCTTCACTGGGCACGATGTTAAACTTCTCTACATGCCCCTCGCCCCCCCTGCTATTTCACTGCTGCTCTTTCTCCCTCCCTGATCCCAGTGTAGTTTGAGAGGAAAGGCAGAAGAAAGGTGTTGGCAGCCTCTGAAGGCTGCTGTTCAGATCAGCGGGTTCAGAGGAGCCGTTCCTGTGGAAGAAGCTCTCCCTGACCTGAGGGGTGGTGGTCCGTGACCTGCTGCATTCAGCTCCTTTGGCTGCAGCCCTGAGCAGGGGCTCAGGCTGCTCCCGCTGCTCCCGTACAGAGCAGGGCTTGGCCGAAACGGCAACCACCTCATACTCATCTGTTTTGCAGGGTAGAGTAAAAGGTTACGACGGAACAACCGCCTGCCCTCTGGCTTCGTAAGAGATCACTAGAAAACCCTTCTTTCCCCAGCATATTGTGTTTAGCAAAGGAAATTCTTCAGTATTCGTAGCAGATGAGATACGTATCCGGGTAGAATCTCTAGAGATAAGGTATTTGCCTTTTTGATAATGACCCCTTATTCTCAAGGGGTTAAATCATTCTGGGCTGACACTTGCAAGATTTTAACACTGATGGGGATTTAAAGCGGCTTAGCAGCTATGAAATAAAATTCTTCAATAGTTTCTGATGCTTAAACAGAATTTCAAATATGCATGACTTTCAGTTTGTACGTGGAGGTTGTAACAAGCTTCACCAGTGGTTAAAGTACGTACTCAGTACTTTAGTATGCATGTAGAGACTACACCAAATGGCTCTAGGAGGGTCTTTATGATCTTTAAAGCACAAATACATTAATAAAAAAAGTAAGAGGAAAAATCTGCCTTCTATCTATGAGATCAGTGTGGCTTTGAAGCATATGACTTGTGCTGTCTCGTACAAGGAGGTGGGAAAGCAGGATTTTATTTACCCCTCTTCAGTAGAACATTCCTCTGCCATATCTGAAACTAATGAATGTAAACTTGTGCCTATTTTTTCTTGATTTCCTAAAGGTGTAAAAATCTGTTCTTGTTTTGCTTCTTTCTTTTTCTTTGCAGCTAATTTTTTTTTTTTTAAATATCCTTTAATCTTAGGATGTGGGCATTACAAGTCAAATAAAACTTTCCTTGATGATCGTGGGTTTTGTTTCTAAATTTCCTGGCGAAACTTGCTAGAAACTCAAGCCTTTGGTTTCTGATTTAGGTGACCGTTGTGGTGACACCTCTGGTGGTAGAGTGATGGTCTAAAACAAGGCTTGCTCTTCCTAGAGTCAAGATGCTGAACTTACAGCAAGTAAGCGTAAGGGTTTTGTTTGAAAGGGGAATCTTCCTGGTTCTACTGAAGACAAGTCCATAGATTAAGCAGGCTATAAAATAAACAAGACAACGCATTGTACGTTGAGCAGTGGTTGAAAACTCTGGGGTTTCATTTTTCAGATTTTTCTTTTTCCGCAGTGGTTTGACGGTGTTTGGGTGTGGTTTGGGTAGGCTAGCAGCCTGTGATAAAGTGATAACAGAAATCCCAGTAAGGAGCAGAATCTCTTAAACATTGTCCAAGTTCTCATAGCATACTTAGCAGCCTCCCAATCTATGTGAAAGAAACCCAGAGTAAAGACTGTGGGTTGATATCAGAGATGCCCATCTGCTGAGCAATGCAGGAAACTCATCTTCTCATTCTTCTGAAGCAATTACAGTATGTTTAAATACTTTCATTTTCAAATGATACAGAAACCAGATTGAATCAGATAGGCTGTTTGCTTCCACAGTGATTAAGATTTCATCCATATGCTTAAAAATAAAAAAATAAGCCTCAGTTAGCATTAATGAAAGCCTGTCACGAACTATGATATATGCAAATAAAATGTTCATGAATAGGAAAATTTTTGTCTCGTGCCACACCCTGAACGTTAGTTGCAAGAGTTAAAAGGAGTTTATCTTAGTTTCCATGGTGTCAGACTGTATACTCATTACATCTCCCGAGCAGCTCTGTGCTTTCTTATGCTGAAGGAACAGAGCAAAGGCTGCTCTGTGTATTGACACTTTCTTCTTATGTTCAGGAAGGAGTGGGTGAATATAGCAATGAAGCCCACAATTTTCAGTACTTGTCATGGTACATAGATCAAATGTAATCCACTCTGCCAGCATAACTCTATATTCAATAGCTTGGAAAGGAGGAGATTTATTTAACTTGAATAATGAAAGCAGTAAATCACTCATGCTACCTTGTAGCAGTCTTCTGCAATGAACTGAACTTATGCAGTAAATATTTGCTCTTTCTTTCCAAATAATAAGGCTTTAATGCTATTTTTCTCCTTGTAATGTCAGGAGAGGTATCAACTTTGAAGAGGCTGTTGAAATTAATTGGACACAGTCATAATTTCCATCTGAAAACAGGTGTATTACAACTGCAGGAAAAGGAGGTTTCTCCCTGTTCTGAAATCTTATGTTAAGGTGAACATGTTAAGAGGTAGATATCCTAGTCCGCGTGCTTTCCTGACATATAAAAATTAAAGGCAACCCCTTGCCTATGTTTATCACTTCTTGCGCTGCTCTTGCGTATTTATTTTACCGTAAGTTTTATTTTTTAAAATTGAATTAACTTTGGTGGTTTGGTCTGAAGGGATATTTGCCTTCTACAAGCTTTTCTGTGTAACGCTGCTCGTGTATCTCACTTTTGAAGTGCTGCACTGTTTGTGTTCTGCTTTTTCCTCTGGCTCCCCAGGTACGTATTATTCTCTGGGCTCACATATGGGAACGTTCATTTCAGTTTGGTCTTCAAAGCAGGTGATTTCAGTAGTCAAAGGCATTTGGGGAGGATAAAAAAGGTATATTACCTGGCCTTTGCACTACCTGTTAAAGGATGTGCGGAGCGTCGGCAGCAGCGTCCCGGTTTCTCTTGAGATTCTGCGAGGGCTTTATTTCATGCTTTATTTTCACATGTGCATGTCCACACAGGAGCTGCTGGTCCTTTACAGAGCTATAACGGAGATGGGGCTGTAAAAATCCATCCTCTCCCTAGTGTTACTTTAAAAAAAAGGGGAGGGGGGGGCATTTTTCAAGAGAGCTTAGCTTGTCACTTCATCCCTCCTGTGCAGGGGCAGGTAGAAATGTTATGCTTAGGCTAGTGAAATAATGCTGTTATGTAGCAGTACCTGTAGTAATCCCGTTTATAAAATGACAGATTCCCTTTTAAAAGGTGACATGAGAGGACGGTTTGGTTTTTATTCAGTGGCAGCCCGCCTCCTCAGCGGGCCAGCCCCGGTGTCCCATCCCACGGCGGCAGGGAATACAACCACCGCAGCAGGAGGCCGTGAGGCGCCGGGGCGGCAGCAGGGAGGCTGTGAGAGGGACTCGCTCCCGCGGGCACTGCTCCCCATCAGCCCGGCCCGGCTCCGACGCGGGGGACGCGAGGGCTGGCCCGGCCGGGGCGCCGCAGGCCGGCGGCGAGCAGAGGCCATTTTAAGCGCCGAGTCGCCAACGAGCCCCTTCCTCAGCCCCCCGAGCCAGCCACCACAGCGCCGCGGCTGATTGGCTGAGAGCTGGCGGCAATGGCAGCTGGTGATTGGCTAATCTGCATCGCTCCTTTCGCCAATGAGGAAGGGCGATGACGCCCGCCTTTCTTTCGATTGGCTTTTCCGCTACCTGCGTCCTCCTCCTATTGGGCACCGATGCTAGTAGGCTATTGGCTCTGCCGCTCCCCGGGTTGGATTTTTAATTGGGTGGCTGTGGGTTGGCCGGCGCCTCACCTGCCGCGCAGCGTCATTGGCCCGCCGCTCTCCGCGCCCCCGCCCATTGGTCGCACCGCCCCTTATGTGCGTTCCGATTGGTCGTGGTGGCCCGGCCCGGTATCCGGGTAAGATGGCCGCAGTCGGAGAGTGCTCGCTCCCCGCTCCGTGGCGGCCGGTCTCCCTCACTCACGTCGAGTATCCCGCAGGTAAAGCTCCGCTTCGCCCCCGCCCGGCCTCCCCGGTGGCCGCCGCCCCGCTCTCCCGGGCGGGTCCCGCCCGCCGCTCCCCGGTACCCCCGCGGGCCGGG